TACTCAAGTCTAAATGTCCCTTTTTCCCCTCTTAATTAGCTTCAATAAATGTCCTTTTTTTAACTCTTAATGAACTTTAAAGTGATAGGATCCTCTTTTCTTTCTATATTTCAATAAATGTCCTTTTTTTAACTCTTAATGAACTTTAAAGTGATAGGATCCTCTTTCTTTTGAATTTAGACCCCAGAGTCTGAATATATTTCTGAGTGGCTGAATTTTTTATTGTGCTGCTTGAATCACCCTGAAATGGCCTGGTTTTCCGGAATTAATGAGAACCGTGCTGGAAATGAAGAACCTTCCAGTGCTTTGTAACAGAATAACTGGAATTTCAGGTGTCTGAAATCTCTAGACATGCCTGAAAATCACATTCTAAATAGTTGTGATTTTTTTTTATTTAGGCTATGTTATTAATTATCCTGTTTCTTCCCATTTTATGATTCTTGTATTATCTTCTTCATCTCACTCCAAAGTCATTAATCAGAGTACAAAGGAGTTTAGTACCCAGAAAAGAGCTTGTCCACTTGGATTGCCTCTTAGCAGCAAGTGCTACTGAAGGGTACCAAAGATTTTCCAGCAAATCAGGCAATCCCTTCTTTGGGGAAGATGTTACATGGGGTACCAAAGATTTTCCAGCAAATCAGGCAACTCCCTTCTTTGGGGAAGATGTTTTATGTGAAGAAGTGTTACCGTTTGGGCAGCCAGTAACTCGTACTGAGCAAATGCACATTCCACTGACATATCAGTAGAAGTTATTGCATTTTTATAACTGTTTCATTTGTACTGTTTTATTATTGCATTTTATTATCTATCTTAATGCCTCTGGTTTCTACCTGCATTTCAAAAGAGATGGATGGTACACATCACTCACAGTATGAAAAGGTGGTTTTCCCCCTATAGCCAATTTTCAGCTAATTTAATATACCTGTTTTTCTATTGCCTTACAAGACTGAATGATGTAATTTTTTTGAACAAGAAAGACAGTTGCACAGTATGAATAAACACTATGAAGCTTCCCAAGGAGATAATGCTGCACAATGGCAGCTCTAATCTTTCTTTTTTCATCTTATTTTCCTCCTGTCTGATGTCTATTTTTATTCGGTAATTTTATTTGAGAAACAAAATGAGAAAAGAACATTGCTGTTCCTGGAAACCTTCCCCATATGTTTCAGGAGCAGAAGGCTTGGATGAGATACACACAGCATCTCCCTCAAAAGACCGTTTTATGGCAGCAGCCAACAATACCATTGCAACAGTGTTAGGAGTGAGATACTGGAGCGTCATTTACACACTATAATAAATATAATTTAAAAAAACCCCAACAAAAAGCTTTGTCAGCCCTGGCCCAGGCACCCATCTCCCTTGGCTCGGGCTGAGGTGTGGAGTACAAACATAATGCTGAAGTGCAACATGAGAGAGTGATTCATCGGAGAAAACTTAAAAACCACCGACAACAAGGTGATTCATACCTTGAGCGCTAATGGCGTTTTGCGGTAACCTCAATTTACTGATTTTGCATTTCCATATCAAGTGATTTACAAGTGCCTGCATGTGCTTACATGTTTATATGTGTGCACTCAGGTGCAACTCAGCTGAAGTCAGATACCTCTATCTGTAGTGGGGTCTCTCTTTGAAGATAAGAAGCCAAATAGCATCTTTGCTATCTAAGATCCCTGATTAGGGGGTACTAGGAATCGCTTGGGATAATAAAGTATACATCCATCTTCTCTGAGCCCTTTTAGATCTTGAAAAGCTAAGAGCAATGGTCTGGTAGCAAACTGCCTGGGTGCAAATGTGAGTGGTGGTTTTGATGAGAAATGCACTTGGTTCCCTTTAAGGATAAAACCAGAAACTTCTGAAAGCACCTATACACTCCACCCCGCTGGATTTCAGTGGTGGCTGAATCTCTGAAGAATTGGCCATTAACATCTCTCAGAAAAGTTTTCAGTTCTTACAGACTTCAGTCAAGGGTGAATTTCCATTGGCCACGTGGATGGGTTTTCAGTTCTTAGCAAGTTTATTTCCTCGCAGCAGAGGTGTAGATAAATAAATATTAACAAGCAGCTGGGATATTTTGCAATTTTCTGCTAAAGAGGAGTCAAAAGAGTCTACCAAGAAAGAATTAGAACTGCTGGTTTTGTGGTTCATTTGTTTTCTCCCACTATGTCCTTTTATGCAAAGATCTTCGCTGCGGAGCACGCAGCATGTGACAATGCAAATATAGGGTAAGCACCTGCTATTGAGCCGCCTGAACCGGAATCGGTGTGAACTGATGCAGTGTTGGCCAGAAGGCATGAAAACAGTGAGCTGTGCTCTGGCAATCAGGCATGATCAGGCAGATGACAGTGTCAGAGAGTTTGTAAAGTGATGTTGTTAGGAACTACAGGGTAACAGAGCATTTGCACCAACGTTTCGTTTCAAAGTGCATCACCACCTACAAGCCAGGGTATACAGCCCCAGTACCCCCTGCTTAAGAGGGAGGTGCAGGGGTTTATTTACTGCCAAAGGCCAAGCTTTGGAAGCATCCCTTCATTCTTCAGCATCATCCTGTTTAAAAATTACTGTCTGCCTTAACAGTAGAGCTCTCTCCGCTGAGCAGTATTTCACTTCTACATTTCAAGGTATTTCATCGCTAAAGGGGAATCATTCACAGATCCTGCTGTCACCTGGAGCAATCTCAGGTCTTTGCCTTTTTGCTGTCTTGCCTGATGTCACTGGGTGAGTGGGTTCTCTGTGCTCCTGTAGATTATTGTGTAACCCTCCCAGCACATTTCCCACTCACTGAACTCTATGGGTGTCCACAGCTGTATGAGTGGGCTAAACAAATTTAGCTTAGAAAGCAACAGGCCAAATTTAATCTGGATTGCACCTTTTTACACAGGGGATGCATCTGCCCCGTTTCCCCTCACTGACCTTCACGGATGTCTTCTTCTTTTATAGTCACCACCACTACTGTATCTATTTGTTGACTTATAAGTAAGTTCAACACACGTGTTTTACAGTTTGAAGAGCTAACCATGCACATCCATGTGCAACCACAAAACCTATACAAGCTCACAGAAGACCGTGCCCTCCTCATGACACCAAGCATGATGTGACGTTCTTAAAACTACACCATCATTACTCTCTTGAAAATCATTTTCCTTGCTGAGGTATGTATCTGCTTAGCCACAAGCAAGAGATGTTCAATTGCTTTTCAAGCACAGTAGATGTTGCCAGTCACTGAGAGATCTTGGTAGTTTGAGGTTTCCACATTTCAGAATTGCCACATTGTCAAGGAGGGTTGGGGAGCAACGACGGTGTCAGGGGACCTCCATGGTCTGCTTTTCAGAAGGTGGGTTTGCCCTTCTGCAGGACTTTAGGGGCCAAATGCACTTTCACAGGCAAGACTGTGGAAACCTTTCCCTTGCAAATCTCATTTAATTTCCAGTAAAAACCAGGGTGACTGAGAATCACTGCTCCAAGTGGTTGTCCAAGGTTTTGCATTGACCAGGCGGGACCCAGCAGGTGAGGGCCCATCTCATCCAGCCTGTCAAGCCTGAGCAACAGATTTCCTGAGGAAGCCCTGACCAAGCGTGTTACCCTATTGTCTCACCCTTAAGGAGAGGAAGCTGCTTCCCTTTGTCTCTCATTAAAATAGATTGTGCCTGTTTCCACGGCGATAAGAGATGCTCTGAAAAAACACTATTTTAGAAATCTATAGAGGGTTTTGTAGTGCTGTGCTCTAGTGATTTTATTAAAAGATAGTAGTAAGATGCCAAGACCCTTTAGTGTCAGGGGTGTAAAGAAGAATTGGATTAAAATAGAAAGCTATTACCTCTGGTTTGGGAGTCCCACAAGCTCAACAGGAGAAAACTGGAGAATTAAATTCAATAAATAACTCTACCTTCTATTTGTGTTCTGATATTCTTCCCAAGACATCTCTTGCTGCTCTCTACTGAAGGAAAGATAGCGAGCTAGAGGAATCATTGATAAGAACCTGTTCAGCCTCTCTGATGTCCTTGTATCTCCAAACCGGGAATAGCTGAGACAAATAATACTCAGAGTAATTTTGATCATGTTACATGAGTTAACTGGTTCCATTGATATGAATCAAAAGAGGACACACATCTGACTGAAAATTTTCAGAAACACCTAAATTGTCTTCACAGCTGGACTGGCCAAAAAGCACAGTTGTCTCACAAAAAATGCAGGGTTAGGAAAGGCTGGTCCTTTCACACTAGAGTGAAGTAGGAATATTTCCAGCTGAATAAATCTTAGAATTACACAGACTGGCAGAGGTTGGAAGAAACCTTTGGAGATCATCTTGTCCAACCCCCTGCCAAAGCAGGGTCACCCAGAGCAGAACAGGAATGCATTCAGGCAGGTTTGGAGTATCTCCAGAGGAGACTCTACACCTTCCCTGGGCAGCCTGTTCCAGGGGCTCTGCCACCCTCACAGGAAAGTTTTTCCACATTTAGCTTCTGTGAGAAACCTCATGGCTTGGACAGAGGACAGGACAGAAACAAGCATTAGTTCTCTAGCTGCAAAAAAAAAGCCACGGCAGGAAGGTGAATGCAGCCACATCCTAACATCATGCTTTCAGCAGCCACTTTCAGTGTGACCGCTTTCTTTCCATGCCTCTGCCCAGAGCTTGCCTCCTGCGTCGAAGATGTCTTCCTGACACATTTCTGGGAAATACTTCAACCAAAATCTCACCCAACGTCTCCAGACCTTCACAAACTCAAAGCCTCAGGTCACCTCTGAGGGCAGGTCTCTGGGGATCGGGGCTCTAGGACGCTGCTGGGACTGAGAAGAAGCTGCTCTGTGTGGCAGGAAGGCAAAGCTCCGGGGTGGTTCACTGTACCAAACCCAGTTATAACTGCACTGAGCATAAAACGAAACAGAATTTGCATAGCTCTCCGTTTCACAGAAAGGCAGTGACGGGGTGGGGGGGTGCACAGGGAGGACAGATCTTGGTAACTATTCACCTTCTGACATCAGAAACCTCCGCTGCAGCAGACAAGACTGCCGTGGCGAAATCCCTGATCGAGAACATGAGGCTCCTTCCCCTCTTCACAGCTGCGTCCTGCTTCACGCCCCCAGGTCCCTCTTTCTTTGTACTACAAGTGATGAAGTTTTTTTTCCAGATCACATGAGCCAGGATGAAGGGGGAAAATCCTGCCAGGAGCAGAGATGGGCTGCAACTTGAACCTGATCAAGGGGAGATACAGAGCGTACCCTGAGAGCTATATAAGAATGTGCTCGGCACAAGAGCAAACACTTTTTCAGGCGAAGGACTCTCATGAATCAGCCATGCATATGAGTGAAGACACCGTTTCAAGGAGGCTTGGAGCCACTAACAAAAAGTGTTTGTATTTCATCATCGCTGCCCTTGTCACATTACTCGTCTTTGCAATAGCCACCATCATGGTCTTAGTTGTTCAGAGGACGGTAAGCAATTTCTTACTTTATTCATTAACTTCTTCTTTCTTCTTTTTTAGTCTTTTCTTTTTTTTTTTTTTTTTTAAAAGCTACTGCTTTCCAGAAAATATCCTGTGGCCAGAAAATCAGATGCTGCCTCCTGTTATAAAAGAACACATAAGAATTAGGGGAGGAAAAGATGAAACAAAGAGAGAGGTGATAGAATTTTCCAATAAAGAAGACCTTTCTTCATGGCAGCCTTAACTTCTAGAGCACAATTTCTACTCTGTAAATGAAAGTGGAAAGCTCATAATCCAAGATGCAATCCACCCTCTGCCCTAACTAGTCAGGAGGAGAGGTGGAAAGATAGATCAGTGCCTCAGTGTTTGCTCCCTGGGTTTATATGTGTCTCTTGTTGCTACTACGAAGAGTGACCACTGTCCAAGACGGTCTGGTCTTGTCTGTCAGTGTCTGCATGTGTTCCTCTGAAGTACTGATAAATTTTAGTAATGGACATAGCACAAGACACCACCATGTGTGACTCTGTGGTGTGCTGCCTCTGGAATGTACCATGATGAGGTGAAGCAGAGCTCTCTTGAAGTACCCAGAGCTCTGGATGGGGGCAAAGTAGCTCATGGTTGCTCTCTTTGTGTGTCAGTTCTCTGCTTGGGGGTGATTTTTAAGGCAAAAGTAGAGTTACAGCAACGGTGACTGAAGGATATAAGTGGGCAAGGTTTGACAAAAACAACTGCTCTTTCTGCCTACAGACATTTTTTCCTTCTAAAAATAAAGATGATTGCTCTCAAATGGATCTGGGGTTGAATGGGGAATCAGTGAGACATTTACAGCTGGGGCAGAGGTACAAGTGGTGGTGAATATAAAAACTGCATTTCTAATCTTACCAGGAACGTTGCCATGAACTTTACTGGGCTGAAATGACAGGTTAGAAGTTTTATAGGCTTTGAAATCTTATTGCACAAATCTAACTGCTGAAGTGCCTCCACTGCTATGCATAGAATGAAAGCACCAACACGGGGCTACTGGAGGAAGTTGGCCATGAACAACAAAATCTTTCAGCTCAATATTTTCTCTTACTAAATTTACCCTGTGCAATTTGTGTGTTTGTGTATGCACATTATCCAGAAATTAAACCATGAAGGCTTGAGTGATACATCTTTAAGCTGCACCAGGGAGGAGTCATTTACCTGAAATCAGCATTCTTCCAAAAAAGAAGCAGTTTGGGCACAGTTAGAATGAGACATGGGAGTTTTCAAGTGAAAAATAGAGGGACATTAAGGGAGATCTTTAAAATAACAGCCTGGATAATTACAGAATTGCAACAGCTTTCCTATATAATGATGCATTCATTTGTACTTATTATGAAAGTAAGCATTAAATTACCTCTCCATCAGGGTAAACACAGTTACACTCTTTGCCAGAGGAACAATATTACTGGAAGAGTCAAGGTTTTCATTTAAAAGAGTAATGACATTATTGCAGCTGCTTTCAAAATGGGCTTGGCTGAAGGAGAAAGTCGGAAGCCGAGGTGTGTGAGAAACACAAATAAAATCAAGCAAAAATTTTATGCTGTGAGAGGAATTTGGCAGTAAAAGCATAGCTTCTGTTCTTGTTCTCAGGAAGCTGAAAGACCCTCAGTTCAAAGGCAGCATAGTCATTCTCCATCCATGACTGGTCTTGAATTTCCAGACCAGGGAACAGGTCTTGCTCCAAAAACACTTTAGCTCACGGTCACACATTCAGCATAAGGTTAGGCACAAATGGTAAAAATAGAGTTGTGGCTGGGCTGAGCATCTTGTGGTATTGATTTCAGCAGCTCCAGGAGGCCTGGAGGGTTCTTGTACTTGGAGCCCTGTGTTTGTTGAGTCCTGTTGCTTTAGGCAGTAGAGCATCATTAGTTGACTCAATTATTTCCTTTGTAACTTCTCAAGAGAGGGCTGATGTTTTGTATGATCACCCTCTTGGGATGATCTGGTTTTCTCTCCAGATGTTGTCAGCTGGATTATGGGAGTGATCCTTGACGACTAGGGCAACGGTGGCAACTTCATGCCCTCCCTATGCTAAGCTGAGAGAGAAATTTTTATTTTTCCCTGTTCAAAGGAGTGCTAGAGGGTCTTAGGAACAATACAGGCCTTGTGACCTGTACCTTGGGTCCCACTGTATTAAGAGGAGGCTTCTGGTGGCAAGCAGATATCACAGTCCTCTAGCCTCATTGCAGGTACATGGAAGTTGGCTGCTTGTGACCCTTTTGATGAGTTCACACTTGCCTAGTATAAGATGAAGGAAGATGCAATGGAAAGGGAAAATCAAACTGCGTAGAAACAAGGCATTTGCATCACCCAAAATCTGGGTGCTCTGAATAAGGGAAATCCAACATTAAAGACCAAAACAAAAAAAAAGCAACTGAGATTCCAAAGCTGCTCCTCTGAATTTAGCACCACTTCTAATACACATTATCCCCTCCCCCAACATTTTCCAACACCCCAAGAAATTTCCTTTACGACTTGTTTTCAAGAAGGGTGGCACAGCACATTAGTGTCAGGCCTGGAAATTGTCATTTTTTTGTAACTAAATTGCGTTCTTTGGAACTAACTACATGCAGTGCTGAAGTCGGTTCATTTCTTCAGCTTTCATCTGCAGAAATCCTTGGCTTCAGGCCATTCACTTGTCTCAATCTTTCACAAGTGACTTTATTTTTCTCTGGAATAAGAAAAGTCACTGTGTGGTGGTCTGTAGCCTTCATTTTTTACTCTTAACACTGTCGTAGGAATGCTGAAAACACCTTTCTTCCTGCTGCGTTTCACTGCTGCTGGTTATGTGCATATATACATATATACATAGATTTTTACATATGTAGAGAGATATATGTAAAATCAGTGAAAGGGCATGGGACAGAAAGGACTAGAAAAATGTGATTTTAAGACACGCAGACCCTGGCAGATCTTATGCTGTAGGTATGCTGTACCGGACACCTAGGCCACCTACCTCTAAGAACAAATTCTGTGTGAATGTCCAAAGTCCGTAATCTGGGATGGTCCATCAATGCTCTGGATTTTGTAGACTTCCCATTTTTAAGCTCTAAACTGAGTGGACAAATCTTTTCAGCGGAGTTAAGGCACCAGCGTGGCAAATGATAAGAGTCAGCACGGGTATTTATATCTGCTAATCCAGTCTTCAAAAATGCTGGAGTCAAAAACGTAAAACCCTCAGAAATCGCTCCTACAGCACCTTCCAAGTCCCTACATCTATTCAGGCATTGGTGTTTGCTTAAAAATAATTTCGTCACGGGCTACCCCTATCGGTGCCCACTGGCCCCCTCTGGTGGACAACCCTGACAAAATTTTTTTTTTTTTAAATAAAGCACTGAAAATAGCCCCTGAAAACAGATCTCCCACTCACTGAAGACCACAGGGAAAATACTGAGGCATTTCAGAAGAAAACTGCCCTGTTCCAAGTCTTGCCATGGCTATTCTGTACAATGAAAGCCACCTGTTGTCTAGAGGCGTCACTTTAATAGGTTTTGTCAGTAGTGGAAAAACTGAATTTCACACGGGGCTCAGTTTCATGTGATGCTCATTGTCAGACCAGCTGCGGGGACTGCAGTCCACTTTCTGGAGTTTTCACATCTAGTTTCCACCTTTGCCTCTTGGCAACTCAGAGACAGCTACCTAAAGTGCCACTGCCTTCCTTCCCCCTCAACAAGAGATGGGCAATGACGGTTTGAGGCTGAACAGAAACCAGACCTTGAGGCTCTTTTTCCAACTGCAAAACTTCCTTGGAGGACAGAAGTCCTCCAAGGGTGGTGAGACCCTTGCCTGGGTAGCCCAGAGAAGCTGTGGCTGCCCCATCCCTGTAGGGGTTCAAGGCCAAGTTGGACGAGGCTCTGAACAGCCTGGTCTGGTGGGTTGGAACTTGATGATCTTTAAGATCCCTTCCAACCCAAACCATTCTATGATTCTGTGAAGTCCAAAAATCTCATCCCTGCAGAGCCACTGTGTGGACAAGCTCTTGGAAGAGCCCTGCACCCAGTTAAGCTGACCCCAGGCCAGTTTCTGGGGGACAATGGTTTCAAGTTGTGTTTTCTTGGACTTTCGAGAGGCGGATACACACTTCAGAGACCTCTGCTTTAATCACTGCTCACAGTTCTGACAAAGGACACTAGAATGACCCTCTAGCGTCACCAACCTGTATAGCTTGGGAAAATTTATTCTGAAATGATTAAAGGAAAGAAGAAAGAAATTACTTTCACTGACACCTGATTATTATTTTCTCTAATGAAGCAAACTCAAATTATTCTGCTTGCTGAGAAAAGACCAAGATTTTTCATCATCAGCACCCAGATCACTCCATAAAGGGTGAAATTCGTTGTCATGAATTCTTCCTGAGGTGTAGAATTTAATCTTTTTGGGCTCCTGCTGTGTGCCTCTTTGCATTCCAAATTACAACATTAGGTGCAATATTTTTGCTGTTAGAAAAGAAAGAAGTAGTGCCAGTAATATTTCAAAGCAAGCTCTAAAGTTTTATTTGAATATCTACTCAATTGTCACTAAAATAAATTGCATTAGTATCTGCTGGTTTCACTCACTGGGAGACGACTCAGGTGAGAACACAATACATTAGTACATTTTAATTTTGTTTCTGCTGCCCAGATTACACAGCAAGCTGTGAGCCATCAGCCTTGTCCTGCACGCTGTGCCTGAGGGAGGGATGCAAGGTGAACACCTCACTGCTGATAATGTCTCAATCCCTTTACCAAACACTTCTCCACAGGGTACAGTGGATCTGCTGCCTGATTTCATTTAGCATAATCTGGCTGGGGACAGAGCATCACCTTGTTCCCCAAAATCAAGTGCAAAAATGCCTTTAATTCTCCGCAGAGAGCAGAACTGCTCATCCATTGCACTAGAAAGTAATGCTTCCCTGCACCTCAAGTGTGTGCAAGAGGGACAGCCCAGTGCAAGGGTCCAGGTGGCAGATGGTCCTTGGGAGTGTTTTCAGCTGAGACTGTGTTCTCAGTCCCACATTTGATGATGTGACCGCCTAGGATCCATGAGAGCTTGGGAGGGAGAATGTTGTGTAAAGGACCAAAAAGTTTGGAAATGCCTGATTTTTCAAACTACGTCTCTAGAATCCCATTCAGCTCCTAACCCAGAAACCTTCCTGCACAGGTTAGGAAGATCACCTGCAGAAACACTTTGTCTCAACAGATAACTTCTCCCCTGTCTTACACAAGTGTGGGGAGAGAAAACAAACAAATCAGATATTACAATTACCCACATCATGAAGCACCTTTACCATCTCTGGCTGCAGGACACAGCATTTTGGCATCAGACCAGAGGATAACATCATTTTGCTGGAATCAGACACAGCTTCAGCCGTGGTTGAAAACATGGCCACATTAGGCCGAAGTTTAATTAAAAGTAATCTTAAACATTTAAGTCTAGAACTTTAAATACCACAAACAGACACAACATGACTTCTCTCACTGTTAACCATCCTCCTTCTCCCCACACCACACATTATCCTATTTACACCCAGAATAAAGTGTTTATGTTTTAAGACCACTGTGGATGAAGTTACCTCCCACCACATGCATGGTTTGCCTCCTTTCTCCCGGGGGATTATTAGATGTTCTGCCAAAGCTGGTACCATCTTCCAACTTCTTTCTCATTGAACATGTTAAATTGGTCCTGGACTGATTAGCCCACAATTAGCCCAGGTAATTAGCATGCAAATAAGAGAAGCTGGTTTAGGCTAGCCTGAGCAAAACCCACTCCCTGATATCAAAATCCCCATGGGAGTCCCGGTGGGTGTGAGTGAAGGGACATAGCATCCCCAACACTGAAGCACTCTCAGTAATTCTCCTTGGGTGTTGGGAGAATTTGTTTGCTCCTCGAGGGCATTGCTGGGTGTTTGAGAGCTGTCAGTGACTTTACTTGCGTGGAAGTAATATGCAAACAGGCACAGGCTTCGGGGTTTTATCTCTGGATGGCAGAGAGATAAAACAGAAGCAAGACCACAGGTGAAGTCTACGACGTAATGCTGGGAGCACATTTCCTGGTCAGTTTTCATGCCATGTTGATTGACGACGAGTTGCCATGACATTCTGACCATTGGTTTACATCCCAGCATGAAGTCAGAGGAGATGTGAAGCAGGACAACACTGTCACTCTCAGACCCGTGTTGGGTCTCTACTGCTCCTATTTTCATCCAGCCACTGCCTTCCCGCAGATGGGCACTGGCTCTCAAGGATGCCCAGTCCCACTCTGTCCTACTCTTTCCAAGCTTTGCGGGCCACAGAGTGAGGTTTTTCAGGGCTTCTGCTTCCAAAACACCACCAACAAAAGCCGCACATATTTCTTATAGCACTGAGAGTTGCTGGCTGTGTCAGAAATGTAGATTTTCCGTGTTAGAAAAAAAAGGGCAGTGATGAAGGATGAGGGATGACTGAAGATGATACTGAATGCAGAGAGCTTCCTGGAGCTCCACAGCAATCCCTCTCTGACCTGTGAGCCTCCATAGGAGCCATAGGCTCTGGAGTGCCCAGTGCTGGCTCCCTGTGCATCAGGCTGTGTATTCCCTTAATGGCATGCAATGGAGACTCCTAAGATCCACTTTTAAAGCAGGGTTGTACTTGAATATGTGTCTGCTCCCAGAATAACCATCCCTTCTCTCGCTTCTCTTTCAGGCAGCTGGTCCTGCCACAGAGAGCGTCGCAAAACCTATCATCAGGACAGGTAAGACACCTGAACTGACTATACATGCCACACGTCTCATCTGTAGTGTGAATATTGCCCAGGATCCCAAATAAGCCAGTTGTCTGGCTAAACATTTCACATAAAGTCTCTTCCTGCTGAAAAGTCAAGGTAGTGGGGAAAAAAAAAAAAAGGAGAAGAAGAAAAAAGCTTGAAAAAGCTTTCAAATTACTCAGTATCTCCGGAAACCAGCGCATGGCTGAGGAAATAACAAGTATATCTGAATCTGCCCTGAGGTGTCTCTGCAGAAGAGCCTTTTTGCCAGAGGATGTGAACATCACTCTGACTGTTAGGTCTTCTGTTAAGGGCTGGCTCTTGCACATGTGGGTGTAACTGCCCTGTCTTCACAAGACCCTGTTGGCCTTTCAAATTACTCAGTATCTCCGGAAACCAGCGCATGGCTGAGGAAATAACAAGTATATCTGAATCTGCCCTGAGGTGTCTCTGCAGAAGAGCCTTTTTGCCAGAGGATGTGAACATCACTCTGACTGTTAGGTCTTCTGTTAAGGGCTGGCTCTTGCACATGTGGGTGTAACTGCCCTGTCTTCACAAGACCGTGTTGGCACATATTTCAAAATAACTGAAACTCCTCCTGCACTCCTCCGGCCTGGAGCAGTCATGTGTTTCCTACTGGTTTGTGGGGAAAAGGAAGAGGTAAATGGAGAACAGCAGCAAGAGGCACAGATGGAGGAATTAAGACAGGCAGAGTATAAGAACAGGGAGCCCAAAATGGAAAAAACTGTCTAACTAGACTAGCAGAGACAGTCTACCAAAGTTCTGCTTTGCCTTAGCATAAATCAGGAGGAGAACAATTTATTTCATTGACATCGCCTCCCTGGTTACATGACCCTTAACATCAGGTATTTTGTCTTCTTGCAAAAGTTCATAGACAGTCCTGGAGGACAGGAGATACCATCACCTCCCACTCTACTGAGGGGGAAAACGAAGCACAGTGTTCATCTAGAAACACTGGCAGAATGGGAAATTGAAGTTCAAGGTCCATAGAGTCCTAATCATGTAGCCATTTTTTCTGCAGCTACGTTTTTGCACACAGGTGATGTAATGCAGCATTTGGGCAACACATACTCTATCTTGGATAACTTTTGAATATGAGATTCTTCCGTATTGGGCTTTTTTCAGCCCAAAGGTCTCAAAGTAGTACCTGCACATGACTCTCTTTCCTGAGAAATACCCATCTTGCCTAACCATCTTATATTTTTACATTTTTTTTAATGTTTTACAATTCCTAGAGAGATTTTCTTCTAGGAAACATTTAGAGATGTTCACTAGGGCATCCTAAGCACATATTGCTTTCTCTCTCTCAACCTAAGTTGCTCCTTGAGTCTATGTGTTTCTTAAGTCCTCTAGTGCTTTATTTTGTACCTGAAGTTCCTCAGAAATAAAGCAGGGTCTGAACATACAAGGCAGATTTGGCTAAGGGCATTTGGACAGTCACATCACAGCCCCACTTCAGTTCATGTCCCAAAAGGTGTCCAAAATGGAGCTTTGCAAACCTAACGGGCTGCAAAACATCACCCTTCCTGACGGTCACCCATGGTCCCCCAAGATGATGGACAGTCCCCAGAGGTTGTGAGGCTGTATGGCCCCAGAGCAGAACCTCTGCTCCTGTCAAACAGCGTAATCTCAGAGATGCCAGAACTGTGCTGGTTTCCATGGCTGAGTTTTACCAGCAGTTAGGAAGAGGTAGTGAAAGCTGCTGGTGTGGGGTCCAGGCAAAGCATGAGCAGCACTGGCATTCCCAGGGCAGGAAGGAGAGGTCTCACTAACCCAAAAGTGTAATCCATATATATATTATTATTATTTTTTTTAAATGTCATATCAAGCAACCTGTGCCAACTGCTTTTTCTCCTCATCAATAGCTGGCAGGTGCCAGGCAGGAGCAGTGCCCTCTCTCCAGGAACCCGGGAGATGCCCCTTTCATTATCCAGAAACCTTTCTGTCTTTGGGTCAATATCAATTACAGGCACCCTCTGGCTCTGAATTCTGGTGCTAAATCTGAGATGATGCCATTAGCCAAAGACAAAGGAGGCAATGGCAGAGAAGGCCCAGGAGGCAGGAAGGGCTGCTGAGAGCTGTTTCCCAAGGGTGTGAGTGCTCTCTCAGCCCACCCCTCATCCCCCATCGGTCTCTATTGTGCGCCTCTGGCAGGGTAATGGAGCATTAAAGTGTAAGCGAATTACAATGGCCTTTTATTTATCTCTTTAAATGCATAAAGCGGGGCTAATTGATTAATATATCCCAGGGGGTAATTTGCTGAGGGCCCCTCGGCAGGGAGCTCTGTCACACGCTGCCAGGCATCGCTCGCTGACTTCTAAGCAGGGAGTTGCAGCCACCACTGTGAGGAAATTGTCATTTTTTTGTAACTAAATTGCGTTCTTTGGAACTAACTACATGCAGTGCTGAAGTCGGTTCATTTCTTCAGCTTTCATCTGCAGAAATCCTTGGCTTCAGGCCATTCACTTGTCTCAATCTTTCACAAGTGACTTTATTTTTCTCTGGAATAAGAAAAGTCACTGTGTGGTGGTCTGTAGCCTTCATTTTTTACTCTTAACACTGTCGTAGGAATGCTGAAAACACCTTTCTTCCTGCTGCGTTTCACTGCTGCTGGTTATGTGCATATATACATATATACATAGATTTTTACATATGTAGAGAGATATATGTAAAATCAGTGAAAGGGCATGGGACAGAAAGGACTAGAAAAATGTGATTTTAAGACACGCAGACCCTGGCAGATCTTATGCTGTAGGTATGCTGTACCGGACACCTAGGCCACCTACCTCTAAGAACAAATTCTGTGTGAATGTCCAAAGTCCGTAATCTGGGATGGTCCATCAATGCTCTGGATTTTGTAGACTTCCCATTTTTAAGCTCTAAACTGAGTGGACAAATCTTTTCAGCGGAGTTAAGGCACCAGCGTGGCAAATGATAAGAGTCAGCACAGGTATTTATATCTGCTAATCCAGTCTTCAAAAATGCTGGAGTCAAAAACGTAAAACCCCCAGAAATCGCTCCTACAGCACCTAGCATGTCCCTACATCTATTCAGGCATTGGTGTTTGCTTAAAAATAATTTCGTCACGGGCTACCCCTATCGGTGCCTACTGGCCCCCTCTGGTGGACAACCCTGACAAAATTTTTTTTTTAAAAAATAAAGCACTGAAAATAGCCCCTGAAAACAGATCTCCCACTCACTGAAGACCACAGGGAAAATACTGAGGCATTTCAGAAGAAAACTGCGCTGTTCCAAGTCTTGCCATGGCTATTCTGTACAATGAAAGCCACCTGTTGTCTAGAGGCGTCACTTTAATAGGTTTTGTCAGTAGTGGAAAAACTGAATTTCACACGGGGCTCAGTTTCATGTGATGCTCATTGTCAGACCAGCTGCGGGGACTGCAGTCCACTTTCTGGAGTTTTCACATCTAGTTTCCACCTTTGCCTCTTGGCAACTCAGAGACAGCTACCTAAAGTGCCACTGCCTTCCTTCCCCCTCAACAAGAGATGGGCAATGACGGTTTGAGGCTGAACAGAAACCAGACCTTGAGGCTCTTTTTCCAACTGCAAAACTTCCTTGGAGGACAGAAGTCCTCCAAGGGTGGTGAGACCCTTGCCTGGGTAGCCCAGAGAAGCTGTGGCTGCCCCATCCCTGTAGGGGTTCAAGGCCAAGTTGGACGAGGCTCTGAACAGCCTGGTCTGGTGGGTTGGAACTTGATGATCTTTAAGATCCCTTCCAACCCAAACCATTCTATGATTCTGTGAAGTCCAAAAATCTCATCCCTGCAGAGCCACTGTGTGGACAAGCTCTTGGAAGAGCCCTGCACCCAGTTAAGCTGACCCCAGGCCAGTTTCTGGGGGACAATGGTTTCAAGTTGTGTTTTCTTGGACTTTCGAGAGGCGGATACACACTTCAGAGACCTCTGCTTTAATCACTGCTCACAGTTCTGACAAAGGACACTAGAATGACCCTCTAGCGTCACCAACCTGTATAGCTTGGGAAAATTTATTCTGAAATGATTAAAGGAAAGAAGAAAGAAATTACTTTCACTGACACCTGATTATTATTTTCTCTAATGAAGCAAACTCAAATTATTCTGCTTGCTGAGAAAAGACCAAGATTTTTCATCATCAGCACCCAGATCACTCCATAAAGGGTGAAATTCGTTGCCATGAATTCTTCCTGAGGTGTAGAATTTAATCTTTTTGGGCTCCTGCTGTGTGCCTCTTTGCATTCCAAATTACAACATTAGGTGCAATATTTTTGCTGTTAGAAAAGAAAGAAGTAGTGCCAGTAATATTTCAAAGCAAGCTCTAAAGTTTTATTTGAATATCTACTCAATTGTCACTAAAATAAATTGCATTAGTATCTGCTGGTTTCACTCACTGGGAGACGACTCAGGTGAGAACACAATACATTAGTACATTTTAATTTTGTTTCTGCTGCCCAGATTACACAGCAAGCTGTGAGCCATCAGCCTTGTCCTGCACGCTGTGCCTGAGGGAGGGATGCAAGGTGAACACCTCACTGCTGATAATGTCTCAATCCCTTTACCAAACACTTCTCCACAGGGTACAGTGGATCTGCTGCCTGATTTCATTTAGCATAATCTGGCTGGGGACAGAGCATCACCTTGTTCCCCAAAATCAAGTGCAAAAATGCCTTTAATTCTCCGCAGAGAGCAGAACTGCTCATCCATTGCACTAGAAAGTAATGCTTCCCTGCACCTCAAGTGTGTGCAAGAGGGACAGCCCAGTGCAAGGGTCCAGGTGGCAGATGGTCCTTGGGAGTGTTTTCAGCTGAGACTGTGTTCTCAGTCCCACATTTGATGATGTGACCGCCTAGGATCCATGAGAGCTTGGGAGGGAGAATGTTGTGTAAAGGACCAAAAAGTTTGGAAATGCCTGATTTTTCAAACTACGTCTCTAGAATCCCATTCAGCTCCTAACCCAGAAACCTTCCTGCAC